GTTATTGAAACTACAGTATTTGAACTTGGTGCATGTAAGATCTGTGCAAAGCAAAGACTGTATCTGATTAAAGACTTGTATCTAGAATAAAGATTAATTAAAGACTTGTATCTAGAATTAAAGAATTGTATCTAGAACTCTGAAAGCTCAACAGTAAAAAGTGACAACATATTTAGAGAATGGGGAGAGGAAGTGAACAAACAGATAATTCACCGAAGATGATTTGTGGATGGCAAATAACCACCCGAAAAGATGTTTAATATCTTTAGCCTTTGGAGAAATGCAAATTAAGTCCACAATGAACTATCACTATACATCTATTAAGATACCTAAAACAAAAGTGGTGATAATACTAAATACTAGTGAGGATGTGGAGAAACTGAGTGTTTCATACATTGTTGGTGAGTATGTAAAATTGTACAGTCACCATGGAAAATAGGCAGTTTCTTATAAAACCAAACATGTTTGTCATATGACCCAGCAGTTGTACTTGTGGGTATTTATGCCAGAGAAATAAGAACTTGAATTTATATAAAAACCCTTATACAAATATTTATGTTCATAATAGTCAACACCTGGAAACAACTCAAATGTTCAACAGGTGAATGGTTAAAGAAACTGTACATCTGTATAATGCAGTACTACTCAGCATTAAAAATAAATGAACCATTGATGCATGTGGTAACTTGGATAGATCTCAAGTGCATTATGTTCATATAAAAATACTATCTCAAAAGATTACAGACCTTGTTATTCCATCTTTATAACATTATCTAAATGCCAGAATTAAGGAGATGGAGAACAAAGCAGTGATTGCCAGGACACAGGGATGGGTGGGAGGGTGAGGTGCAGCTGTAAAGCGATGGCACAGTGGAGTTTGGTGGTGGTGGAATAGTTCAGTAGCCTGATTGTTCTGGTGGTTGCATGAATATATATATTGGATAAAATTGTATAAAATAATATACACACATAAACATGTAAATGTGTACATGTAAAAGCTGATAAAATCTGAGTAAGGCTTATAGTCTAGTTAACAGTATTATACCTTTGTCATTTTCTTGGTTTTGTTAGTGTACTGTTACGTAAGATGTTGCCATTGGGGGAAGCTGAACCAAGGGTACATGGTACTCTGTGTATTATTTTTGTAACTTTCTGTGAGTTTATAATTATTGCAAAATAAAAAAAAAATTTTTTTTTCTTAAAATAGTCCCTCTTCCTGAGGGCCAGGTACACATCATTTTAGTGAGGTGGAGGTGACTTATTTCTTACCCTGCTCACTTGCCTGGCATCCCACAGCTCTAGGCAGTGACTCAGCTTCCCCAGACCTCTTTGCCCTGCCTTTGGCGGCCATCCAGAGTCCTTTAGCTGGGTGTAAGAAGAGCATTTCACTGTTGTTTTAGCCTGAAGAAGCAGGAAAATGACGTCCCATAGATGGCATTGCTCTCCTAGGAGCTTGGTCTTTTTTAAGAGAGGCTGATTCATTTCTTTGGTTGGTGTTTCTATGGAGTACTTGTAACTGGGGACAAAATCCATAGGTAATAGATGAACAATTTGGAGCTGACAGGTGCTCATCATTCTGCTTTTTATAAATATTCCTGCCTTTTAATTTTTCTTAGAGGATAGAGACACAAACCAATGTGACCTTTTGGACTCTATTTATAAGCACTGTCCTCTAAAATTGGGAAGAAAATGGGAGTGTCACATGTATAAAATATCTAATTAAAGTCTTTTATTCACCTCCAACATAACTTCATTTTTTAAATTTTTGTATGTGTGTGGGGTGGGGAAGGATTGAGAGAAAATTGAGACTTGAGTATAGTACATACAGTAATTTAGCCACTTCAAACAGTTGAACAAATTGTACACCTGTAGTTAGATTGACAGTAATGAGAGTGATTTAATTTTCATCAGCAAATTGCTCCCACTCTGATAGCTCTTTACCCACAGTTTCCTACATCTGGGTTTCCCTAAAATGTTGCTGGATTGGGCAGGGCAAAGCAAAGATAGTCAATGATTGTAGAAGATACAGAACCAAGGTGTGGATTATTCCACCTTAGACCTCAGCCTTTTCAACTGAGTTTAGGGATTGAAGGTGAGCTTGCATTGCTTCCCCTGACCTCAGTGATGGCAGCAAGAAGACTTTCCATTCTTCTCGAACATTAGAACTCAGATTGGGATAAGTGAACCTGGAAAATCTTGAGTGTGTTTTTGGGGCAGAGGTCTATATAGATAGACTCTGAGGGCTCTCTTCTGTGGGCGTCTTAGACGGTACAGGTATACTTTGAAGACTCTGGGTTTGGTTCTAGATCACTGCAATAAATCAAGTCAGATTACTTTTTTGGTTTTCCAGTGCATGTTAGAGTTATGTTTACTCTACTGCAGTCTACTAAATGTGCAAGAGCATTATGTCTAAAAAACAATATACATACCTTAATTCAAAAAGTACTTTATTGCTAAAAAATGCTAACCACATCGAGCTTTTAGTGAATTGTAATCCTTTTGCTCATGGAGGGTCTTGTGTCAATGCTGATGGCTGCTTGACTGATGAGGGTGGTGGTTGCTGAACATTAGGGTGGTTGTGGCGATTTCTTAAAATAAGACAGCAGTGAAGTTTGCCACATTGAACAATTTCTTGAACAGTTTCTCTGTAGCATGTGATGCTGTTTGATAACATTATACCACAATAGAACTTCTCTCAAAATGGGAGTCAGGGGCGCCTGGGTGGCTCAGTCGTTAAGCGTCTGCCTTCGGCTCGGGTCATGGTCCCGCGGTCCTGGGATCGAGCCCCGCATCGGGCTCCCTGCTCCATGGGAAGCCTGCTTCTCCCTCTTCCACTCCCCCTGCCTGTGTTCCCTCTCTTGCTGTATCTCTCTCTGTCAAATAAATAAATAAAATCTTTAAAAAAAATAAAAATAAAAAAAAAATGGGAGTCAATTCTCTCAAACGCTTTGACTGCTTTATCAACTGAGTTTATGTAGTATTCTAAATCCTTTGTTGTCATTTCAGCAGCTTTCACAGCATGTTCACCAGGAGTAGATTCCATTTCAGGAAACTACTTTCTTTGCTCATCCATAAGAAGCAACTTTTCATTCATTAAAGTTTTATCATGTTGCAACAGTTCAGTCACATCCTCAGACTCCACTTCTAATTCTCTTGATATTTTACCACATCTGCACTTATTTCCCCCACTGAAGACTTGAACTCGTCACAGTCATCCATGAGTGTTAGAATCGACTTCTTCCAAACTCCTGTTCGTGTTGATAGTTTGACCTCTTCCCATTATGTTCTTAATGGGATCTAGAATGGGAATACTTTGCAATACTTTTTCAGTTTACTTTGCCCAAATCCATTAAAGGAATCACTGTCTGTGGCAACTGTAGCCTTACAAAATGTATTTTCTTCTTACTATAATTAAGACTTGGAAGTCAACATGACTTCTTGATCCATGGGCTGCAGAATAGATGTTATGTTAGCAAGCATGAAAACAACATTAATCTTGTTGTACATCTCCCTCAGAGCTCTTGGGTGACCAGGTGCATTGTCCATAAGCAGTAATACTTTGAAAGGAATTTTTTCTTTCTGACAGTAGGTCTCAATGTTTGTCTTAACATATTCAGTAAACCATGTTGTAAATAGACATGTTGTCATCCAGGCTTTGTTGTTCCATTTATAGAGGACAGGCCAAGTAGATTTAGCTTAATTCTTATGGGCCCTAGGATTTTTGGAGTAGTAAATAAACAATGGTTTCAACCTAAAGTCAGCAGCTGCATTAGCCCCTAACAAGAAAATCAACCTGTGCTTTGAAGCCAGGTATTGACTTCTCCTCCTCTAGCTATGGAAGTCCTAGATGCCATCTTCTTCCAATAGAGGGGTATTTTGTCTACATTGAAAACCTGTTGCTGAGTCTAGCCACTTTCAGGAGTTAGCTAGGTCTTCCAGATAACTTGCTACAGCTTTTATATAAGCACTTGCTGCTTCACCTGGCACTTTTATGTTATGGAGATGGCTTGTTTTCTTAAACCTCATGAACCAACCTCTGCTAGCTTCAAACTTTTCTTCTGCAGGTTCCTTATCTCTTTCAGCTTTCATAGAATTAAAGAGATATTAGGACCTTGCTCTGGATTAGGCTTTTTGGTTTAAGGAAATGTTGTGGCTGGTTTGACCTATCCAGACCACTAAAACGTTCTCCGTATCAGCAATACGACTGTGTTGCTTTCTTACAATTTGTGTGTTCACTGGAATAGCACTTTCACTTTCCGTCAGGAACTCTTCGCATTCACAACTTGGTTAACTGTTTGGCACAAGAGGCCTGTCTTTTGGTTATCTTAGCTTTTGACATGCCATCCTCACTAAGCCTAGTCATTTCTAGCTTTTGATTTAAAATGAGACATGAGACTCTTCCTTTCACTTGAATACTTAAGAGGCCATTGTAGGGTTATTGATTGGCCTAATTTCAAAATCATTGTCTCAGGAAATATGCAGGTCCAAGAAGAAGGAGAGAGATGGGGGAATTGCCTATCAGTGGAGCAGTCAGAATACACAAAACATTTATCAGTTCACTGTCTTATAAGGGTGTGGTTTGTGACACACCAAAACAGCTACAATAGTAATATCAAATACCACTGATCATAGATCACCATGACAAATATAATAATGAAAAAGTTCAGAATATTGCAAGAATTACCGAAATGTGACACAGAGACACAGAGTGAGCAAATGCTGTTGGAAAAATGATGCTGAGAGAGTAGCTAAATGCAGGTTGCCACAAACCTCCAATTTGTAAAAACAAACAAACAAAAAAAAACAGCTCTAAGTTTGACAAAGTGAAGTGCAATAAAGTGAGGTATTCTTGTGGGAGGATTTTTTGATAGTACAGATGAAAGAAGGTTGTGAATCCGGGAGCAGTAATTCCTTGAGAGTGGGCATCCATGATAGGCGACAACTGTCTTGGGGAGACGTCTCCAATTGATCTAATTATCTTTTTGCTTCAATTATTTTAGGCAAGGCAGGCCAAGGTTAAACGACTCTTTCGCCCCATCGAGGAATTAAAGAAGGACTTTGAGGAGCTGAATGTTGTCATTGAGACTGACATGCAGATCATGGTACGGCTGATCAACAAGTTCAATAGTTCCAGCTCCAGCCTAGAAGAGAAGATTGCTGCACTCTTTGATCTCGAATATTATGTCCATCAGGTATCGTATTTCTTTGTCCATAAATCTGACTTTTAAGTAACATCTTCAACTGCAAACCTTCCTGCCCTAAATCCTAAGAAAACAGCATCAGCATCTTTGCTCCTCTCTCAGGGCGTCTAGTATTTTTAACCTAGGCCAATAGCTATTGTAATAAGATACATTCTAGAAGAAAGGGCCAACCTCTTTTTCATTTGCAGTGTTACGTCCATTATTTTTCAACACCTATTATACAGCAGGGGCAAAACAGCCATGGTCCCTGTTTTATGTAGCTTATAGTCTGGAAGAGGGAACAATTAAATCATGAACAATGAACAATAAAATGAGATAATTTAAACTTAAGATTGTGGTAAGGGCTCCAGAGAGTAGTGTGGGAGTATATAACGGGGGAACTTAGCCTAGTCAGGGGTGTTGGGGAAGGCTTTTGTAGATAAAGTTTTATTGGGACACAGCCACATCTGTTTCTTTATGTATTGTTCTATTGTTTGGGGTTGTTCTTATGCTATAGTGAGGGGTTGAAGAGTTGTGACAGAAACCCTATGGCTCACAAAGCCAAAATCATTACTGTCAGGGCCTTTGGAAAAAGTTTGCCAACCCTTGAATCAGAGTTCCACAGGCAGAGGAAACAGCATGTGCAAAGATTTTGAGGTTGAGAAGAGCTTGGAGAGAGTAAGGGCCTGGGAAATACTGGATAGGGTAGCATAGATAAAGTGGAAAGGTTACAGATTCAGAGAGATGCAATTGGGAATATCACACTCTTTATGATTTTATCCTTGATTTTAAGACCCATTGGAGAGTTTGCAGCAGGGAAAGGACGGATCACACTTGTGCCATAATTATAATAGTTAATATTTATTGAGCACTGTCATAGACAAGGCACTTAAGTGCTTTATACATACCAATTCATTGACTTCCACAGCTGCCTTATGGGTCCTGTTACTAGTTCCATTTTATCACTGAGGCAAATAAGACACAGGTCAGACCTGGTATTGCCCAAGGTCACCCAGTTAGTGAGTGGTAGAGCTGGGATTTGCAACAAGGTCTGTCTGACCCTAAACTGAGCTCTTAACCTTTTGGTCACTCTGTCTCCTCTAGGATACTGGAATCATTTGAATGAAGCTCAAAAAGACATAGGTAGATCTAAGGAGAAGGAGCAAGAGAAATCGTTTATTTATTCAATAAATTAATTTATTGCACGCCTGTTAAGTCCCAAGAGCTATTTCAGGCACTTAAAATACATCTGTGAACAAAATTGGAGCTTAGCTTCTAGCAGAGGCAGATAGATAATAAATATAACTAATAACAATAAAAATAAATAAATAAATAAATATAACTAATAAGTAAATTATGGACGGTGTGTTTAAAGTTGATAAATACTATGGGCAAATAAAAAGTAGTTCATGGTAAGGATTGGCAGTATTGGAAGGGAGCATCTCAGGAGAAACAACAAGTACTAAAGCCCTAAGGTGGGAGCATGTCTAGTGTGTCTGTGGGATTAGAACAAGTCAGTGTGTGGTTGGAGTGAAAAGAAGAGAGAGGGACGTAGATGAAACTTAGACAGATAATGGGGGGAAGATTATAGACTGCCTTGTCGAGCATGGAAAAGAATATGAGACTGGATGTTATTAAAGGCTGTTGAGCAGAACAACAACATGCTCTGACTTAGTTTTAAAGGATCCCTCCACCTGCTTTGTTGAGAATTAGACTGGAGGCAGGGGGTGTGGGTAGAAGCACGGAAACCAGATAGGAGGCTATTGCCGTAATTCAGACTAGGGACGATGGTGGCCCAGGAAGACTGTGTAATCATAATCAAAAGCTTGTTTGAGATCCTCATCAAGACACAGATCTTCAACATCCTCCCACACATGACTGCATCCTTGTTCTCTATAAACTAGGCTAAAAGACATTCTTTCTTTCTTTCTGATTTTGCCAGCCTTTGTGGTGAGAGAGGATGAGTGTATACTGTATCTGCAGGAATTATGATGCAGCCTCTTCATCTTCTTTCTTTGCTCGTAACTCTTTCTCAGGACTCAAATAGCAGATCTGTGATCCTCTTAGAGAGAAAGTGGGCCTGAATTCTCTTTCCTCTTTCCTGTGTTTCTCTCCAGGGTGAAAAACAAGAATTCCAACAGCTTTTCCGTTACAGATATTTAAAGGATTAAGGATCTTAGGGGTTATTGTCCAACTTAGTCCTGCTCTGATCTTGGCAGCTTTTATTTTTTCTCATGTACATTACTTGGGTGGATCTTTAGGTATCAGGGTTCTATAGACTCTTCCTTTAGTTGAGCATAAAAGGCCAAAATAACTGGAGAGCTGATCATACCTAGAGGGGAGCGAGTACACAGGAGGCTAGCAGGGCCCTGACAAAATTTTTTTTTTCCATGCAAGTCAGCCACTTATCTGACAGTGTTGTCTCTAGGGTGACGTCCTATTCTGCTTTCATGAGTTACTAGGTGGGGTAAACACTTTTTTCGACATCAACTCAGTCTCAGGTCAGACCAAGAACCGGTTCCCTGGTGAAGCCAAACTTGCTCTCTTCGGCAGAAGAGTCATAAATGTTCTGAGTCATTGGCCTTTGGATTGGAAGTACAAGGTCCTTGCTTTGGGCCCCTGGTATGTCAGGCTATCATGCAACAGGTTGAGTTTTGATTTCACGGGGGAATTAAAGAAGACACAGCTTAACCTCTAATTCTAGTTGTGATGGGGAATTCAGGTAATTTAGTGCTAGCATTGTGGAAGATAGGACTTCTGTTGCCAGGAACTTCACCAGTCCACTGCTGTTCTAGACTCACTGAATAGAAGCTTTGAGAAGCCATGGGGTTCAAAGACCCAAACTAAATCTGACCAAGGATTCCTCACAGCCATATTGGAATTAATATATTTCTATATTTTTACAAAGATTTTTTTAGAGAGAGTGTGCACGTGGGAGGGGTGAGGGGCAGAGGGAGAGAGCATTTCAAGCAGATTCCTCACTGAGCACGGAGCCCGATGTGGGGCTCGCTCCCACAACCCTGAAATCATGACCTGAGCCGAAATCAAAAGTCAGACGCTTAATCGACAGAGCCACCCAGGCGCCCCAGCCATATTGGAATTATTAAACAGGATCTATAAACACAAGCAAAACCTTGTGTTTGGAAAAAGGTTGTGAATTACTTATGAGGTGTAGCTTCTGTCTGCCCCATGTACCCTAGGGCAGTGTGTTTGCCTTTCCTCAAATGTCTCCTCAATTATTTAATATAGTTTCTCCCTTTCTCTATTTCCTGTTCTCTGATTGTCTGGCCAGTGCTCTGGTTCTCTCTTTTCCTCTGGAGTGTTAGCACAGTTCCTACTATGTCCTTCCCCATGTGCTCCCTCCCTCTGCCTTGAGTTTCTGTCTACCTGTCTCACCCTGTCCTAAACACAGCCTGGAGAAAGCTGTGGCCCCAGACCTAGATGTGCAGCTGCAGACCTGGGACCTGATCATGCCGTCTCCTGTGTGATGCTGAGCAGGGCCCAGATTTTGGAGCTTAATCTTGAGTGTACAGTGGGCAGAATGACTTTTCTTCCTCATCTTCAGTGAAATAACAAATGAGAAAACATATTGAAAAGGTTGAGGTGCTTATATAAATGTTAGAATTTATAACATCCCGAATTGTCTTTGTAGTAATAAAGATAAACTACATCTGCAACAGAACCTCTATGACTCTGTGTTGCTTTGGGGCTGTTAGACTGGCAGCCACTCCATTAGGAACTCCTACCAGCTTTGACAAGTAGCCACCCAGGCACTGAATGACAGGACTCTGAGCCCTGGCTTTGTTATCCAGAAAACTTGGAGGGGGGAAGGATCAAAAAGAGCCAGTGAGTTCTTAGATTTTAAAACTAGAGTGTGTGAGAAAGGAAGGTTTATGAAGTATTATTTGTACTTACGTCAGCCAAACACCCAGCTCTGAGTCTCCCTAGTTGGCTGGCCTATGGTCCAGTAATAACTCCTCTTCATAAGGACAGATTGAGGCAGAAAAATCCCAGCCCTGACTTGGGGGCCCTTATGGCAGAGCAGACTCCACACTTGTTTCAGGACCCTGGATTGGCCATCTTTTCAGGTCTCTGGTATCAGAGACCCATCCATTTTGTTGGCACAGATGCCCCGGGTTGCCTTTTTTACTCACTGTGGAGTTTATTTCAATAACGTTTTTTTCTGATCGTATTTGTTCATTGGTTTAACAGTTACTTACTGAGCAACTAAGAATACACTCAGCACTGTTCTAATCACTGGATCTGCAACAATGGTCAGGCAGAAAAAAACCCTGTTTTTGTGGAGATTATATCAGAATATGTAAAAATGATCTAAATGGTGAAAACAGTCTAGGTCCACCCAGAAACAGGCAGAGTCAAAGTCCTTCAAACTCAATTTCTCTCTTAGAGTCTTTGTCTAGTTTGGAAAGGCACAGTCAGGTAGGAAACGGAAGCATCTGGAGGAAAAAGGTGGATAGTAGTCACGGTGTTGGGCTAGCTTCCTGCATTTTCCTGATGATTTGTAGAGTGGGATCAGACTGTGGGCAAGAGGCAGTCTTTGTAGCAACAAAGGTATTTCCATGGAGATACATGGAGAAAATAGGATCCAGTGACCTTTCTTTTTCTTTTTTTCTTTTTTTAAATATTTTATTTATTTTGACAGAGAGAGACAGTGAGAGAGGGAACACAAGCAGGGGGAGTGGGAGAGGGAGAAGCAGGCTTCCCGTTGAGCAGGGAGCCCGATGCGGGGCTTGATCCGAGGACCCTGGGATCATGAGCTGAGCTGAAGGCAGACGCCCAACGAATGAGCCACCCAGGCGCCCCTCCGGTGACCGTCCTGAACAAGTTGAGTTTTCTTGTTCTAGGATGCTAAGGAAGCCTGGGGAGTGAGATTCCCTATTGAATAAAAGGGAAATAGTCTAGACTTGGGGCTTTGGACCTTAAAGGGTAGCCTAGACCAGTGCCATTTGATAGAATTTTATTTGATTATGGAAATGTTATGCACTATCCAA